AAAGTAGTACTACTTTCTTTTGTGACATACATGCTATTAAACCTTTCTTTACAAGTGCACTTTAATTGTTTCAAGGCCTGATATAATTGTATACTAAGAAGAAGGATGGCAACTAATACCTACAGGCCTGTAAAAAGGTTCCATGTCAGCTTTTTTGCTGTTATTTTTCAGTTTTATCAATATTCCTCTTTGCAAATAAAATCTCATGTTTACATGAAGACTGGAAAAAGTGCTCTTCTGATTTCACAATTTATACAGGCTTCCAAATGTCACATGACTCTTTGTGACAAAATATGCACACACACTCAAAAAAAATGCACAAGTACAACATAGCATCATGCACTGTATGAATGAATTAAATCACATATAATGTATCATTTCAAATTTTCTTTTTTAAAAAAAAAAGAAAAAAGAAAATTTTCCCTGTGCTCATTATAGATAAGTAATAACAGAACAGGCCTATGAATTGTGGATTTGAAGATAAAATATACTATGCAATTCACATCCATCAAAATCTTTGAGTGTATTTTGACATTAGCTGAACGAAATCTTATCTTTACCTTTGCAGAGTTATAGAAAGGATATTAATCAAGCTAGCTTTTAGCTAACCATACTTGGCAATGGATTTCTAGTGAACTCAAATTTCTTAAAGGAAGGTCATTAGGATGAAAACTGATTAAAAGTTTAAAAATCAGGTGGAAAACCTATATCTATTATTATTACATTTATGATTTTAATAACTCTACAGGGTTTCTCCCATGATTTTTGAATATGATTCATATAATGTAAAACATTCTATGATTTCTTTGTCTGACTGGCAAAAAATCTTAGCCTTCGTTGAAAATATACTCTGGTCAAATCAGAAGCCATTCCAGACATATAGAGGGAAACATTTTGGAGCATTACTAAAAACTCTTAGAATTATTTTTTGATCAGTTGACTGGAATTGCTTAGCTGTGGAATAACCATAAGAAAATGGGCCTGCGTGACCTTACTTTCATAGGATGTATGCAGGGATGGAATAAAAGGGCTGACTTGTTATATGTAAGATAGCAAAATGGTCAAGAGATAAAGGTGGAGACCCATTTGAAACAATAAAATATCTAAGTTTGGTCCTGTCAAACTATGCATTAAAATTGGCTGGGGGGTGGTGGTGGTGGTTATAAAACTAGTCAAGTAAAGTAGCTGTCTTCTCCAGTTCTGAAAAGCAAGCATCACAGTCTTTGTCTATTCAATAATTGGAAGGAGAAGGGGCTCTATCATTGCCTTTCTTTCACTAGAAAAATGGGTAACTCTCTGTCAGGAATGAACAACATCTGACAATTAGATATATACAAATTTTGACTAAACAAGCTAAAAAAACACAGGGAAAATGGGCTGGCAACTCAATTATTCCATTGGGTTATCCTCTATCTATTATACTCCTTGTGGGTGTTTTTGTGAAGAGGGAACACAATATGACTTGTTTCATATTTGGCACTTTCAAAAGTCTCTCCCTCCCTCCCTCCCTCCCTCCCTCTCTCTCTCAGTCACTTTGTGCTAATTTAGATTTGGGAATGTAGTTCTTTGCTCTGGCTTCTGAAAATTCATATCTAACGTGTTAAATTCAACACAGAAGTATATAGTGCAATTTGGATACCCTCATTGCTTGACCTACAGACAGTACTAAAGAGATTATTCAATATTATCGAGTCATGAGTGATAGCCACTAAAATGCTTAACAGAGTCAGTGAACCCAAGAGTACAGTTTCATGACTGGAACCTTGTGCATTTTCTCATTTCCGACAGGAGTGGAATATAGTCAATCTGTTAGAGTCAGTGTTCTGGATTATTTACATGGTATTGGCTCTGCAAGCAAAAGACACCAGCAGACTGCAAAGGATATAAATTTCCATTACAATCATTTTGGTATTGCTAGGTGCAATCTGGTTCCTTTTTCAGGGGGACAGTTTATCAGGATCATAAACATGTTCAGAGCAAGCCTCTGCTGACAGTAAATATCAAAGAATCAAAAAGCTGACATAGCTTGGGATTCAGTGGTTTAGCAAAGCAGGTCTCTATCTCTAAACCTTCACCTCTTGATGAAGAATGTAAGCAACACTAACTCGACATGCATATATGTATGGGTCCTAAAGACAAGGACTGAATCTTGGCTATTGAATTCTGAATGTAACCGAATTCTTAGTTAAACTGAATGCAAAATGAGTTTCAGTCCAATGGATTGTTAAACAGTAGGTTTGCAAGGAGATTAGAGGAGCCTTTATATCTGTAAATAAAAGTAACCAATATATCAAATCAATTTTGATTTTAAAAAGGCTACTTTGTGCTTTTTAACTAATAATATCCAAATGTACCACATAAAGTAAGATTTGGTCACCATAAACATTTTTTTCTCACATTAAATCCAGAAAAACAATACAACTGAATACAATTCTATGCAAATGTAACCTATGTTGCCAAACATCTGGGGAAAAAAATGAATGGATGAAACTTCTGTTCAACAAGATGGGCTTCGCTAGAAGAATGAACCACATATCCACAAACTATTTTATTCATAGTGCCTATGTTCAACTTCCATTTATTAAAAATAATCCTATGCCAATGAGAAGGAAAACTCCTCCTCTCCTTGTGCATTAACGCCTGCCTTTAGCAAGATAAAAATAAATCTCCTGTAGACAATCTCCACATTTGAAATAAATGCCAAGGATACCATAGAATGCATAGTGTTTTCCCATTGCTCTGAAGCTAAAACATACAAGCACTTAAGTGTGGAAAAGTAAAAATTACCTGTCTTTCTGACATGACATAGAGGTAATTATGATCTGTAGAAAAGGCCATGTCACGGAGGATATGACTCCCATCCTTGAAAATTGGCACCATTTCATACTGAATACCACCATGAGGAGGCCCATCTGCTCGGATCTAGGATAAAGTGAGACATACTACAGGTTAGTCATTGTCCTTAAATTTAATGGAAAATTTAGGCAGATGTGGCCGCACAATACAAACAGAAGCCAAACCTAGTTTCATACACCATCTGTCAGAACTGAATCTAAACATAGGTATCCATGGAATCACTTTTTGAAAATTGGTTATTTTACTTTACTTTATAAATGGTGTAGAAACTTTCTGAAAAGCAGCATAAAAATTAAATAAATAGCCATCTAATTAGACAACATCCCTTAAGAGTTCTGCTGAATGCATGGACAACAAACTGGGGTCACAAAGAAGCCTTTCTCTTCCTATCGTCTCATCCTAATCTCTAAGCATTCAGTATGAAAGACAGCAGGACTCAACCTGAGTACCATTTCCTATGCAGTCCAAGTTCTAATAAATCAGGGACCACATTGTGAGGATAGCTCACTTTCAGATCTTCTGCTGAATACATAGAAACTGGGGAGAGAAAGAGTCATAGTGCACACCTTGAATGCACACCTTAGTCAGTATGAGCTCTTCACTATGTTTATCTGTCACATTCTAAAATTTCAAGTAGTATTCCCCAAAGCATGAACGTAACAAGGACAAGTTTGTCTCTGTATGTATGCATGTATGCATGTGTGTGTGTGTACATACATACATACATACATACATATACAGTGGTACCTCTAGTTACGAACGCCCCTCCTTACCAATTTTTCAAGATACAACCAGCTCCGGCCCCAAAAATTTACCGCTACTTGCGAACTCCACCTCTACTTATGAACCGGATCCGCGGCCATTTTCCCTGCTGCCACGCGGTCGTGGCTTCCTGTGGGCGAGATCGCGGTAGCAAGGAGACGTTCGGTGAGGCTTGTGGTGTGTTTTGTGGCGT